GGACACTGGCGCCACCGGGCCCTCTGACCACCACCAGTAGGCAACGGGTGAAGTGTCTTGCCCAAGGACACAACGACCGAGACTGTCCAAGCCGGGGCTCAAACCGGCAACCTTCCGATTACAAGGCGAACTCCCAACTCTTGAGCCACGATGTGCTTCAAAACAGGTCAGCTGACTACCTGAATATACTGACTATACTATACTCTTTCCTGATGGCACGGGCATATTTCAAGATGACAATGCCAGGATTCATCGGGCTCAAATTGTGAAAGATGGTTCTGGGAGCATGAGACATTATTTTCACACATGGATTGGCCACCACAGAATCCAGACCTTTACCCCATTGAGAATCTTTGGGATGTGCTGGAGAAGGCTTTGCGCAGCAGTCAGACTCTATCATCCTCAAAGCAAAGCAGTTCTTGGTGAAAAATTATAGATGGAAATAAATCTTGTAACAGTGCAGAAGCTTATGGAGACAATGCCATAGCGAATGCGTGCCGTAATCACAGCTAAAGGCGGTCCAACGAAATATTAGAGTTTGTGACCTTTTTTTGGTGGTGACAGTGTATATAGCTATGAAGATGACGTAACAAATTATTATAACCACCTTAATATTTGAATTACCTTATAAAAGAGCAGAAGTATATCCATCAATCTTGGCATCACATTTCCCAGCAACTGCAAGGAGGCTATTCTGTGGTCACTGGCTCATGACTAAGAGTGACGTGATTAACTGGAAACTCTTGTTATAGTTATGCCAAAAGTCAGTTCAATCTTTCAGAGATGCACAAATCAAACAAATTAAATTGAGGGGAAAAAACAGTGTTCTCATTTCCTATTAATCATATAGTAAAAATCATTAATGAAGCAACCCAGAATTATGGCAAACGCTTCAAAACAAGAAAAAGAAACATAACTTAGTTGTTGACTCATCACCATCACTTCCTGGAGGACTTTATACTGACTGCATCAAGTGAAGCAACTCTGTGGATGAAATGAACCGCTCAACTCCTTTTATGATGTTTGGTTTGAGGAACACGAGTCAATTATGATGCAGCATGAAGAGTGGCTCGTCATCAGATAGGAGAATGACTGTTCCATCTTTGGGAGAGATATATTAACAGGACATACTTTCAAATGTCAAGCTATTGCAAACATATATATGTGTGTGTGTGTGTGTGTGTGTGTGTGTGTGTGTGTGTGTGTGTGTGTGTGTGTACACAAAACACAAAACTACAGTGCACTACTGTACATGCACTGTAGTTTTTTCATTAATTATGACTTGTTTGGTTTGATCTCAGGAGGCTCATCCCCATCCTGAATTCTATGAGAGAATCATTCCTACACTCAGACACAAGGTGAGTCTCTTCTCTTACATTTAAGTGGTTAAACTGGTGACTCTCAAACTGCAGGAAATAAAACCGGTGTCATCAAAAAGAGCTCGCTACTGTGCTGACCACAGTTATACTGAAGCGAAGCTTAATAATTCGGATTCAAACAAGCAGTGATCAAAAATTATATATGCCAAGAAAGCACGAGGCATGTCATTTGAAGCAGGTCATGACTGGGATCATACCATTATGTGAAAGAAGGAAGGTGTCAGGCTAGTGCTGTGTGTGGGCAGGATGTGGACTCACTCTTTTTTTAGAAGTAAACTTTACAAAAAACAAACGAAGAACCTCAAACACAAACTAAAACTAACTAGACTCAGGAAACTAGAACTAGGAAGCATAGACTAGGAGAGCAGAACTGGGAACTAGAACTTCACCAGAACATGGAGGACGTTGACGATGTGGCACAGACAGAGAGAACCACATGGTTTAAATACAGACGGACAACAAGAGGATGGGGAACAGGTGATAACACAGCAGGTACAAATCAAAGCTAACGAGATACAGGAATCAACGCAGACTCAACTCAAGACACATAAGACTAACGCAAAGACATCAGACATGGCAACAGGGAGGGAACACAGACGTGGGACCAGGGCAGGCACAGAGACACAGAACCAAAGGCGCTCAAAATACAAAACAGAAACCCTAAGAACAAGAAAGCCTTAAGAATTAACCTGAAACATAAGATAATAATAATCAAAACCACTGAGTCAACAGACTCAGGACTAAGATAGAAGGAAGGCAAAAGCCGTGATGATCCACTTGGGAAAAAACATTTTTCGGGCATTTTTCTTGGCCTTCACACAATATTTCTGATTGCTATAGATCATACATATATACAGCACAGGCACTCTCACAACTCTTAAAGCTGATGCACGGTCATTAGCTAAGAAGCTGTTTTCTAGCTTTTCACTCCTTTAGTTAACCTGATCTCCTTGCTCAGCTTGTTTCTGGACCTCTGGTTTCTGGTCGTCCACCCCCCCTGGTTGCAGCTTCAAAAACACTCCAGTCTGTGTAGGCGTAGCAGGCTTGTAATTCCTCCTCGGTCCAGTCCTTACCACTTTAACCTCTGGTTTAGAAGTTTTTCCATTTGTCTGTATGTAGGTATGAGGTGTTTTAAAGAGGAATAAACTGGAGGAGAGGCTGCTCGTGACCTTTTAGTTAAGATTGTGCTGACCTACGCCACACTGTGCACTCCCTATAGAATAGATGACCCTCTATAAACATGATGACTTTCCATACTGGGAGCGCTTCATGCTGTGATAAGGAACCAGCTACTTCTTTTTAATCTCTTGAACTCCTCACATTTGCTAATACATCACTATATAACTTCCATAAACCACTTTCTCACATTAAAATAATAATAATCACAGTAGAGTAGTCACCAACAACAATAAGCACACCTCAGAGACCCTCTGCTCCCACACACATTAAACCACCCTGTCTCCATCCACTAATGTTGAAATTACTTCCTGCAATTTCAACTTGCACTTCTTAATGTCATGCTTTTTATATACATTCTATCTATCCTTTGGTCTTTTGGGGGTCCTTTCCGAGAGGCCTGGGAGCTTGTGGGTCCTGAGCAGTATCTTTGCTGTTAATGGACTGTGCTCTTGTGGACAGAGATCTCAGATGTTGTTCCTGGGATCTGCTGGAGCCACTCGCCTAGCTTCAGGTGCATCTCTTTACTTTATCCCATCCCCACTAAACTGTTTAAATCTGTATTTCATCGTTTAATAAATCACTTATTTACTTAACCCCTGTGTTGTCCTTTTGTCCCTGAGGACCACAAGTGTATGGAAATCAGGAGGACATTGTGAGGGTTAATGAAATGGGACCAAATGAAGCAGCAAACCGAGATTAAACAGTTATCTCCATAAAACAAACAGTCCAAAGACCACTGGATGACATCACAGTGGCTTCATCCATCTTTTACATACTAAACAAATTCACGTGTGGTGAATGTAACCCTCATAATGTCCCCCCGATTTCCTTACACCTCAGGGACAAAAATGTCCCAAGGACAACACAAGGGGAGGTAACAGGGAGCCATCGAAGAGAAGCCAGTATGGGTGAAATATGCTCCCTCTTTGTCTGTGAAGGTTCTCAGTCATCCAGGTCATCGTAGTCAAAGGAGCTTACAAAGAAAAGCGTCTGGACTTCTGTAAGTTGCTTGAAGACGTTTCACCTCTCATCCGAGAAGCTTCTTCAGTTCTAAGGTCAAATGGTGGAGAGTCCCAGATATAAACCTAGTGGGAGTTTCCCCCCAAAGAGGGACAAAGGACCCCCTGATGATCCTCTAATCGCCTGAGCCAAGGTGTGAAACTGGGTGTGGGTCCCAATCAGCCAGAGTTTCGGGTGAGTTCATTGTGAAACCTGGCCCCACCTTATCATGCGAATTCCTGAGGTCAGATGGCCCAGGATGTGAGTGGGCGTTAAGGTGTCTGGGGAGGGATCTCAAAACTGGATTATAGATGGCAGAGAGTTGGTGTCGTAAACCCCGCCTCTGTTCAAAGATGGTCGCTCACAGTGGACATAGATGCTTCTTTCACTCCTCTTTCAAACCATCTGTCCTCTCTGTCCAAAATGGATTGAGGGCCACCACTCTACCTACTGAGCTATCCCTGCCCTGTGCTGATTAAAGAAAGCAGTCCTACATATTTGTTTAATGTTCACATTGAAGGACATATCCTGGTCAAAACTACTCCAGGATTCCTCACAGTGTTATTAGAATCCAAGTTAATGCCATCCTGATTAGACACCATATTTGTCAGATTTTTAATGCACACATTTCTGAATCTCTGCCAATCAAAGACACTTTGTATGTAGTTTATGTAATATTGAATACTGAACTGTAAATTTTGATTTTTTTCACGGAAGCAATTTTTATTCAGTGTTTTCATAAAAGCCTTGAACACACAGGAGGTTTAAGGCCCGGCAACTTTGAAACCTTTTTGTCCTCCACGGTGGAAATAAAAACATGTATTACTTAAGCCAGCTCCTAATTTTATAAATTCTGCACTCAGCTTTGTAGTCTCCAGTATCATTGAAATGCGGCCAGATGCTGCTCATTTTTCCCTGAGATGCTTGCATTCAAATCCCTCTCCCATGTCTCTCGGCGTACCCAGCCTGTACCTCTACACTTGCTGTCTCCAGGACATCTGCCCACCATCCTTCTTTCACATCGTGGTATGATCCCAGTCAGTCTTTTTAATGTGATTGGCCGCATTCTGTGCTCATGAAAATGAAGTCTGACCCCGGCTACATAGATTCTCAGCAGGGCTGAAGATTCGGATGCCATATACCAACAGGCCATTAATAATTGACATTTGAAATTATTGAAATGATATAATATAATTATTCGGGCTGGGTGTAATTGTACTGTGGGTCGATGTGGCTATACGTTTGTCTAACAGGACAAGCACAGAGATGAGTCCTCTGTCAGATTAGTCATTAGTTTCACTCTTGCTGTCACGGTTTGCGGGGCAAGCCGTGTGGATTTGTAGTAAGGACCCAAAAGGCGGCAGCTCTGGTGCAGGTGAGTGTTTATTTACAGCAGTGGGTACAAACAGCAACGGGGTGTGAACATGAAACCGAAACCTAAACTGGGTAAACTAACAACACAAACCAGGAATGACGGTGCAGGGAGGTCCGGGAAAATACATACAGGGAGACCGAGGGGAAACAACACAGACGAACCAGCAACTACTATGACAGAAGACACAACTTAAATACACTCAGAGAACACAGGGGGATTACATACAGGTGGGAGACACAGCTGGGAGTAATTAACATGACGAGACTAGGGAGGCAAACTGAAAACACTCGCATAAGACACAGACCTTCACAATAAAACAGGAACTTACACATGAAAGGACACAAACTAAGAAACGCGGACTAGATACAGGAACACACGGGCAGAACAGAGTAAACACTAACCAGAGGAAGAACAGAACCAAAATCGCGAAGAGAAAACACAAAACGCTGGGTCAAAAGGACCCAGGATCATGACACTTGCCTTTAAATGCTGACTTACACTCTTCAAATAAACCTTCAAATAAACTTTACCAATATTTTGACTGACTTGGGTATGTTGAACCTTAATACCTGCTCCTGTAACCAGGTTTTGATCAATTGTTAATTTTTTACAAATGGAAACAGAGTGACCTAATGTTTATAGTCCACAAATAATAATTATTTTGCTCTTTTGTGGTTTTGAAACAGTTGGCTTTTTTGGCTTTCTCAAGTGGAGATTTTCAGCTTCGATAGTGTTCGATATGAGAATTAGCATTAGAATTAGCCAGGGCAGGGACTTGCTGCCCCAAATGAGAGAGTTTAGGCATCTTGGGGTCTTGTCTGTGAAGGTTCTCAGTCATCCAGGTCATCGTGGTATGTTGGAAAGAAATGCGTCTGGACTTCTTTAAGTTTCTTGAAGATGTTTCACCTCTCATCGAGAAGCTTCTTCAGTTCTAAGAGCATTTGGTGGAAAGTCCCAGATTTTTAAGACCTATTGGGAGTATCCCTAAGAGGGTCGAGGACCCCCCCACCCCCGAGGACCACCTCTGCCTAATCACACGAGCCAAGGTGTCAAAATGGGTGTCTGTTAACTCCTGCATTTTAACCAAGGTTTCAGGTGAACCCATTGTGAGACCCTGCCCCACCCTATTGTGGTACTGAGATGAAATGGCCCAAGATGTGAGTGGGCTATAATCCAAAATGACAGACAGTTGGTGTCGTAAGCCTCTGTTCAAAGATGAACGACCATCATTAGGCAGAGGAACAATACGGGATCCACGGCCCTCTTACAGACACTCCCAGTAGGGCTAAAAATCTGTGACTCTCCGCCAACTCCTCTTAGAACTGAAGAAGCTTCTTGGATGAGAGCTGAAACATCTTCAATAAACTTCCAGACGCTTTTCTTCCCAAGCTCCCTAGACAAACTTGGGGTCTTGTTCACAAGTGAGGGGTGGAATTCTGTCCATACATCCACAGTTTAAATAGAGACTTTCAGATTTCCAGCTTTATTGGCATCCTCTTATTATCTACATACGTTGTCTTTATGATTGCATTTTTAATGAAGCCATGTTGATATTAATATACTATCAGACCATCAGTGAACCATCTCTAATTTTAAAGCCAGCGTTCAGCCACTTTTCTCTTTTCTTAGGATGTGGGACTCAACACTGATGCTGTGATCTCGTCACGCCATGCAGACAGCCAGACCAAGTCTCTAGCTTTTTCCCTATACCGTCGATCCTCCAGGGAGAGCAACCGCAGCCACTCGCTCTCTGCCAACAACCAAAGCCTCAGGTCCATTCAGGTCTTTTCCACCTTCTCAAGCAAACATCCAGGTTAGCTGAGAAATTGATGTCTGACTTCCTCAGTCTTGATGCTAAAGACACTCAACTTCCATCAATGTGTCATCATAATGTGGATGTGAGTGTGTGACATGTGATTTGGAAATATAGCTTCAGTCTGTAGGCCTAGAAAAGCAGTCCATTTACCCTGAAGGCCAGATGTGCGAATTGAGCCTCAACTTCTGGAAGGAAAGATTCCAGTTATTATGAATTTTTACGTTGTATTTTTACACTTTCTAAGTCTAGATTTAACAGCGTATGATGTGCTACATTGCAAAACAATGATGAATCTTTGCTGTGAGTGGGTACAAATTATAGCAGAAAGCAGTGTTGTGTCATTGTTGTTTTGTTTCACAGAGAACTGCGCTATTTGCGGAATATTTCGCATCTCAGCCCACTGCCTCACCTGCCTCCAGGGGCTGTGCTCAGACTGTGACAGACTGTATCACTCCTACCCTGAGAGAGCCAACCACCATCGAACAGCTGTCACGTCATCAACTTCATCCAAAAACAGGAGCAATGAAGGGTCAGGATAAGCAGTTCTTGGCAAAATGTACTTGTGTCTTACAAGGGTGCAGTAATCCTCAGAATTTACAACTATATATGTGTGTGTGTGTGTATATATATATATATATATATATATACATATATATATATATATATATTAGGGGTGCAACGATATTCGTATCGATATTGAACCGTTCGATACAGGGCTTTCGGTTCGGTACGCATATGTAT